CATAGGGGTGCCACATGGAGAAGAGAAAGAGCAAGAAATCAGAAATCTATTTGAAAACAGTAATAAAGGAAAACTTTCCTCATTTGATGAAGGAAATAGACATGCAAGTCCAGGAAGCACAGAGTGTCCCAAACAAGATGGCTGCAAAGAAGCCCACTCCAAGGCACACCACAACTAAAATCCTAAAGATTAAAGATAAGGAGAGAATCTTAAAAGAAGCAAGAGAGAAGCAGTTAGTTACCTACAGGGGAATTCCATAAGACTTTCGGCTGATTTCTCAAAACAAACATTGCAGGCTAGAAGGGATTAGCAAGAAATATTCGAAGTCATGAAAAGCAGGTGCCCACAGCCAAGATTGCTCTACCCCACAAAGATATTTAGAATTGAAGAGCAGATAAAGAGCTTCCCAGACAAGAAAATACTAAAGGAATTCATCATCAGCAAACCATTATATGAAACATTACAGGGATTTATTTAAGAAAAAGGACAAAACTATAAATGATAAGATGGCAATAAATACATACCTATCAAAAGTTTAATCTAAAAAACTAACTAAGCAAACAAGAAGAATAGAGACAGAATCATGGATAATATGGAGAGCATTTTGATGGTTGCCAGATAGAAGGGGTATGTGGGAATGAATGAAGAGGCGAGGGGATTAAGAAGTACAAATAAGTAGTTACAGAATAGCCATGGGGATGTAAAATACAGTGTAGGAAATGGAGCAGCCAAAGAACCTACACATGACCCATGGACATGGACAATTGGTGAAGGGATTGCCCGAGGGACTGGGGATTGTTTGGTGGAGGGGGCAAAGGGAAAAATTGGGACAACTATAATAGCATAATCAGTAAAATATAATTAATAAATAAAAGTTCTAAAAAAATCACGAGATACCTCTACATACCTATCAGAATAGCTAAAAATAAAATAAAAAACAATGCCAAATGCTGGTGAGGATGTGGAGAAAATAGATTCATTCATACGTAGCTGGTGTATTATACCCAGTCTGGAAAACAGTTTGGCAGTTTCTTAAAAAAACTAAACATGCACATACTGTACAACCTAGCAGTTACTCTCCTGGGCATTTATCCCAGAGAAATGAAGATGTGTTCACATAAAGATTGTTCATGCATATTTATAGCTGCTTTATTTATAGTAGCCCAAAACTGAAAACAACCCAAATATCCTTCAACAGGTGAATGGTTAAGGAAACTGTGGTGTATCAATTCTGTGCTATAATACTCAGATAATTAATGCTGAGTGGGGGGGGGAGCTAATTCCAAAAAGTTATACATTGTGATTCTATTTATATCACATTTTTGAAATCACAAATTTATAGAAATGGAGAACAAGATAGTAGTGGCTAGAGATTAAGGAGGGAATTAGGGGCAGGAGGGAGGAGGTGTGGCCATAAAAGGGCAACATAAAGGGTCCTGGTGATGGCAGAAATAGTTTGTGTATCGACCCCATCAGTGTTAGCATTCTGGTTGTGACACTGCATCAGTAGTTTTGCAAGAGGCTACCATTGGGAGAAACTGGGTCAAGGTACATGGGGTTTCTGTTATTTCTTATAACTCCATGTGAATTTATAATCATCCCAAAGAAAAATATTAATTTCAAAAAGCAACTCAAGAAACTTAAGGGAAAGTGTAGTTTGAATAAATAAAAGTTTTACCTTCTGTTGATCAGAAAATACCACAAAGTTTAAACAATACTAAACTGGAAATATACTTGTAACAAATATGACTGAAAAGAAATGATCTTTAATATATAAAAAGTTCTCTAATTCAGAAAACAGTGATATCTTCCTACACAAGCAGTGCACAAATAAATGCAGCTGGCTATAAAATATATGAAAAAGTACTTCAATCTCATTAGTAATCAAGGAAATGAAAATTGGAATTCCTTTTTACTCCAAATTGCAAGTGTTCATTATATAACCATGTTCCCAAATAAAGTAAAATCTTCATCACTTTATTTTCTACCTACCTCTTATGTGTTGGGGAATTTTAGCTACAAATGATATTAACTTTTGAAGATATTAGCCTTTTCTGATTTAACTATTTAACAGTGGCATTATATTTCTAACCATAGTATCAAGTTTTTTACATCAGTAATTCTTACTGACTCAGTTTGCCACTTTCTTGTAAACAGTATCTCCTTCCGTGAATTAAAATTTTTAATTAATTTTTGTATTTGTCAGAATACTTCCTTAAGTACCTCCTCCACCCCACCCCTCCTATATAGAGTGGTATACTTTCTGCATACTTAGATATATACACATATCATTTTTACCTTTATACAAATAATTTGTATTTATTTACTAAGAAAAATTTATATGATCATGCCATTTTCTCTTACAGACATGAAAATATTACTTCATTCTCTACATTCATTTGATGTTGAAAATGAGAAATCTTATCTCAGTCTGATTCTTTTTCTCAATAGGCAACCTGTTTTTAGTTAGCTAGTTTGGTTTCTGTCTAGAAATTTGTATTATTTTTATACTTAAACATTTGAATTTGGGCAGGTCCATTGGCATATGTCTCAGTATGTATGAATGTGCGGATTTTTTCATAGTGTTTTAATCTAACTCTTAGTCTTTTATAATTCCTTCGGTTGTTGCTTTCATTTAACCTATCTGCCTTCTCATTCTAGAATTCCACTAATTCTGAGATTGGATATCCTGGATCTGTCTTCCTTGCAGCTTATCTTTTTCCTCAAAATTTCTGTTTCATTGTCGTTTTTATCTTTGCCCTTAGAGAATTCCTCAACTTGGACTTGTAATATACTAGGTTTTTAGCCATCTCCATTTCAATCTATTATTTTCTTCCTCCATTAAGTGTAAATGTTTTACGTAATTATGATTTTCTATTTCTAATAGCTCTTACTTCCTTTTTGCTCCCTTTTTCATATTGAAGCCTAATTGGTTTTATTGGTGTATCATCCCTTTGAATATTACTGGGAATATCAGTTTCAAGTTGACTGACATTAACTCCTGTTTCCCACATTGACTGTTTTTTAGGGGCTCTGTGCAGAGTTTGCTTAGTTTGGTTCCCTATTTTGAACTTCTGATTTGCTCATAGGACCAGCAATTTTTTTGTTGCTTTCCGTATTTTTTAATGAAGTAGCCACTTGAGTAGCCACCAACGTTGGGTGACAGGCTACCTCAGCGGTTGTGTGTGTCACTGTTCAATATTCTTCAGCAGTTTCCCCCACCCCTGGCCCCCTTAAACCAAAGCAGATAGCCATGCAAGTCCAAAGGTTCGCTTTGTTCTTGGTGTGGGAAGGAGATAGGAACAAGCCAGAAAATGGACTTCTCTTAAGCATTCAGTGGTTGGGAGCGAAGCTACCCCAGCCCTGCTGTTGACCAAAGAGGTAGTGAGGGTCTTGGGTAGCTGAACCCCATCTTAGCAAGCGTTGCATCCGCAGTGAGCAAGCCTGGGAGTTAAGATACCGCCAGTGACAGCAAAGATGTGGTAATATGATGGATATTTTTTTATGTCACTGGTAGAACTAAAAATTTGTACCATTCTTCTGGAGAGCAATTTGGCAGAGTGTAAAAAGAGGCTTTTAAAATGTCCATTTTCTAAGGTCTAGTTTTCATATTTCTAGAAGTGTATCTTAAAGAAATAGGGAAGTGGAAATGGATTTATATGCAGAGATCTTAACTGCCAGGTTACTTATAGTAAGGGAAAATTAGAAAGAATCAAACGTCTTACAGAAGAGGCAGGGTAATCAGATTAGTTACGTATAGCTGTGGGATGGGATGTTTTGCAGCCAACTTTAGTGACATGGAGAAATGCTCATGATATAACGTTGAAAGAAAAAAATCAGTGTATAACAGTTTATATACAGTGCGATCCTTGTTTATTAAAAAATATGCTTACAAATGATAAAAAGATCAGAAGTAATACAACAAATTATCAGTGGTGGGATTCTAGGTGATTTGTGTTTTCTTTCCAAAACTTATGTTTTTCAAATTTTTCACAAGTCTCTATGTCTTTTATAATCAGAAAATAAAACGGTAAATGTTGTTAAAAAAAAATATTCTATACTGCCCCAAAAAGAACTCCCACTTTTCAGAATTCGTAGGCAGGAAGTGGTTTACGCTAGGGTTGAATTTGCGATTATCGTAATGTGCACACGGATGTCGAATCCAGCTTCCCACACGGCGAGGGAGCGCGCGCGGCTGCCAGCACTACCGTGTGAGCTCAGCCCAGCCCATCTGCCGCCTGGGCTCAGCTGACACAGATTTATTATTTCATTCTCTAATTTGGCAACATTTTCTCTTTTCTCATTATCGAAACTGGGATTCAGTACCAGTATGACTCATTTTGTTTACCAAGTTCTTGTTTTCTTTTGTTCCATTTTGTGAAGACGAAAAAGCCAACAGTGGGGATTCTGTGTTGTGAAAATGCAGTGCTTGTCCTCTGGGACCTTGGGCAGGTCTTGCTAAAGCGCTATTTCTGACACTCGCAAGCCATTTTGATTTTTTTAACTAGTAGGCTTCTTTTCAAAGAGCTTAGTGTTCCTTACCCCCACCCCTACCACGCTTCCCCCCTCCCCAACTCCCGGGGAAGATTTGGAAATGGTTAGGAATAGAAATTATAAACATTAGCCCTGAGCTACGTACTGTCTCCATCTGGTGGTGGTTTTTTCCCTGAGGGCTCATGTTGTTTGTTTAATCTTCACCACCACAGAAGCTAGAGGTGTGAGATTTACTCTCTGCCCTGACCGCCTTGCGCTTGAGAAGGGATTTTTATCTGAATGGGGTTGCATTTCAAAGGGCGCTGGGATTGTCAGCTGGGGCGCTAAGAATTTACTCAAGTGAAACTTTAGAGCTATTAGTCATCTGAGAGATTTTTTTTTTCCTGAGAGATTTCTTGAATGGATTTGTTGGGATGGGGTGGCTGCTGCCTGAGAAACCTTTTTGAGCCAATACTTTATTTTGAAGAGACAGCTTTTGTAAGACTTCGTGTTACTTTTCTCTCTAGGTTACCCTGAAGAGACTTATCCAATTTATGACCTTTCAGATTGCACCAAGCGTAGGCAAGAAACCATCCTGGTGGATTACCCTGACCCAAAAGAGCCCTCTGCTGAAGAAATAGCTGAAAGGGCGGGAGTGCCAGAAGAGTCTGACCACGTGGCCTGGGAAATGCCCATGAACCCCAGAGCCCGGGAAGATCATTCTGTTACCTCATGTGACCCAAAGCCAGAAATGTGTCCCTGCTGTTTTCATGAAGAAGAGGATCCCGCTCTCTTGGCAGAGAATGCTGGATTCATTGCAGACAGTTACAGTGAGCAGGGGGGAGCCACCACAGACGTGTGGCCCCAGGACTTCGGAGAGGAGGGGTTGAGTGTCAGCGCCCTCCGAGCAAGTACAGGTGGCGCAGCGAGGAAGCGGAACCCCCAGGGCTCAGAGTGAAAACAGCCAGTTTGGTGAAGTATCCATTACTCCAGTCCCAAGGTGACCTCTCTCCCTCTCAGATTTCGTCCTTCGCCCTGTACTTTATTCCCAGTGTTTAAATATCATAGCCAATCAGGTCACAACCACGGATGTCACATATCCTCCCTGGTGCTCACTCACCTGTCACCTTGTAAACCATCATAGAGATTAGTAGGAACACAAGGCGGCTTTGCTCTTTTATCTTCCTGCCTTTCTTCCGTCAGAGGATTGATCCACTGAGTAATTATGTTTGATCTATCATAATTACAGATGGGACCATTCAAGGACAGAGGTCCGACAGTCCACTAAGAGTAACAGATGGTTCACCTGTGAACAAACATCAGCTTACACGTGAGGAGGATGTAAGGTGGCAAGAGTGAAGATTTCAGAGTCCAGGATGCCTTACTCTTTGGGCCTTGAGCAGGTTAGTGGTCCCCTGGACTCAAGAACAGAACATTCTGTTTTGGGAGACGATGGGGCCAGAGCAGGGTGGAACTCTGCTCTCTGAGCCCCTTCCTCACAGCAAGGGCCAAAAAACCCGCACTGTCCTGAAAATGAGCTCGGAGGCCTGTTGGGGGACTGTTTTGCTCTCATTTTGCCTGGATCTCTGGCTTCCTTTATCCCTGTTCTGTTTAACAGAACTGCCAAACCAAGAAGCACGACTGTACGTCTCGTCTTCAGTGGCCAGAGGAGGCTGTAGGTAGAGACTTTAGTCCTTGCCCTGCAGAGCCAAGGTTTGAGGCTGCAGGAGAGCCTGCCCAAGGGTATGGTCCTGCCATCAGCCTCAGAAGGCCAGGGGGCCAGTGATGGGAGCCACCCTGTGCCTCTGTGGCCAGTCCTTGCCTTGAAGCTGGCTTTGAATGTTGTGTCCTCTGTGAAATTGGTTTTCACAACCACAAGACTTGAAACAGAAACGAGGAGGACTGAACTTGTAGACAAGGTGCCAGACCGACAGGGAAGTTGCAGAGTGTGTCCGTTGAGAGAACCAGTGTGGCAGTGCCTGGGGAAGAGGCCATTTATTTGTCTGTATTCAGGTATCTGGGTCCCCTGAGACCTGGGGACAGTAGGAAGTGGGTTAGTACTGTAAGGATTTTGACCAAACTACAGGCCTAATTTCTAAGCTGCCATCTGTCTTCTTGAGTCAAGACAGCAGCCGTGTATTCTGTCTCGTGAGGATGAGTGAATCCAGTTTACATGTAAGACCTGAGAGTTTAAAGAGGATGCCTTCCTGAGGACGTTCCCAGTCATGAAATGCGGAAGACGTCAAATTTAAGAAATTATGTAAAGGTAGATGTGGCTTTTAGGGTTTCATAGTTCTTGGCACAAGAGGCCAGGAAAATAAATCACACATATAAGCATACAGCCCACTGTCAGGAGTATGGGATCATTACGGCAGTGGTAGTCACTCCTGGGAGTGTCCTCTTAGGTCAGTGGACTACAGAGAAGTCACTGAAGACTGAGTCTATAGAAAGTTTATTGCATCTGTCTCAGTGTGGAACATTTGATTCACTTGTAACAAATGCAGTTTAAAACGTGCCGTGAACAATCTAGATGTAATGCAATGCTAAAGGTAAACAGTAATGTAGGTGCTCTTTATTCTTTGGATAAATTGTTTTCCATGTCATTTCCCTTACAACACAATGAGGGGTTGATTTATGAGGAGAGTCCTGGGTCCCTCTTTCAAATTTCTTTTCTGTCTTGGGATATGATGCTCTTGTTAGAGATACACGTTTCCTTCTAGCTTATTCATTCATCTATTCATTTGGCAGACACTGCTCAGAACCAGGCAATGGGAACAGAAGGCTCAAGTCCTACCTTTTAAAAACTCTGTTTAATATGGGAGCCTTATCCAATTTATTTTTTTTTAATGAACTAGACACTATAAAAGTGCTCAAGTGCATTCTGCAGGCAGAACTGTGTCAGTCATGACCGTCCCGGCCTGTTCTCACGGCAGGCTCCTGTCAGCCCATAAGCGTTCCAAGTCTTGGCTTTCTCATCTGTAGAGCAGGGGTTCCCCCCGGGGTGGTTCTGAGAATTAAATGACACCGTCAGTGCCTAGAAGACAGCACTGTCCTGTCTTGTGCATGGTAACCGCTCGGTAAGTGGTAGCTAAGTTCTGTGCTATAATTGAGATACGGACCCCAATCTACAGGAAAACAGAGAATTTTTGCCAAAGAACGTTGCTGAGGCAGTGGATGTGGAGGCGTGCTGAGAGACTGGAGCCGGCACGGAGCAGAGGACACGCTGGCAGGAAGAGTGGTGTTGAGGAAGCAGTGGGGTCTAAAAGTATATGGGTGTTCAGGTACTTTGAAGAGGCTGCTATATAAGGCGTTGCATAACCAAGTCTTTATTTTGAATGTTAATATTTGGGGGAAATTGGCTTTTGGAAATGGTTCTGCCAGAAGTACTAAGACCTCATGGTGGCTCTTGCCGCTCTAGGCCTTGGTGAGTTTATATAGCAGGAATATATGTATTTGTCAGAAATCCTATGTACTTCTCAATCATTTCAGATTAGACAGTCCTTTTTTGCACTTTCTAGAGTTATTTTGTCCTTTGGGGATGACCATTACATGTGAACATACAACCCAAGATGACCAAAATCATGGGACTGGTTTTTATTATCATGCCTGAGGCCTCCTTGGTCATTCCTCAGAGGTCATCATTTCTCAGAACTGGTGTGGGCTGTGAGCTTGGTCACTCCCCTCGCGCCAGGTCTGCAGCGGCCCTTGGGCACTGTGGCAGAGCAGTCACGCCTCTGGGGGCAGGTGGTCCGCCTAGGATACATCTGCATCGCCTGGGAGCGGGCTTGGTAAATCAGGTGGGTGACCCAGCCAGGAGATGCTCTTGCCTGGTCCTAGCTGGAGGCACATTGGGCCTCTGGGAAAGATGGCCTAGAGCCATACGTCTGCACCTCAGAGGGCTTGGGTGATCCAACAACTCGCGGTCCAAACTGGGACACCTGGGAAAAGGGAGCTTTAATAATCATCATGCCAGGATAATAGGCATACACCAGCACTATCCTAGACATACGGTCACTGTCCACGGTATTTAAAAAGACTTCTCCTCCACCTGGCCACTAAATGACGAGACCTCCCTCACAATACCCTGCACGTGTCTCTCCTATAGAGGCAGAGGCAGAGCTAAGGAGGCCGCGGTTCCGGCAGGAAACGCTCTTGCCAATGGAAAAACTCCAAACTGGGGGCGATAAAGCAAGCCTCCTTATTACCGCATTCTGAAATCTCCCCTTAACCAGACTGTATTCGAAAGAAAGATGTAGTTCTTCAGCAATATTGAGAAAAAAAGAGGAAGTAGCTGTGACATTTCCTTGACCCTTTTTATACATATCTTTGTAAAATGCACCTAACCTTTCCTCATTTTTCCCCCCGTTTTTCTACACAAATAGGGCAAACTTCTTTTATTAGTTTGTTTCTTCCCTGAGCACGTTTCCTCATTTATGAGGAGTTTAGAATGACACCCACCGTGCAAGGCTGTGAGGATAATGGAGATACGGTTTATAGAGCATCTGTCCCAGGGCGCTGCATGCTGTGGGTGCTCACGACAGCATCACCGCTGTCACAGTGTCCTGTGCTGCTGCTCTGACACCCTCCAGGCTGTGGGCGACTTGCATTTTGACCGCCTCCCTCAGGGTCAGACTGTCACCTTTCATGTCTACTTCCAGCTACAATGGACGGATGGCAGCCTCCCTTGTTCTTGGTTTCAGACCTGCCACAGGCTGCAAAGAAGATTCCCGAGCATGTGGAGTCCTGTTTAAGTGGGTCAGGCTCTGCACAGGGCTAGAGGAATCGAGTGGCTGGGTCTTCATGTTATTTCTAACCTGGGCCTTTCCACCCTTTTTTTTTTTTTTTAAATCTATTATTTATTTATATATTTAGCTCTACGGCCGTTTTTGTTCCTAACGGCCAGGGCCACAGGGGGCTACTCAGGAACCAACAGCCCCTTCTGCAGTTGGTACAGCTGTCCCATACCGTCGGCCCTTACTGTTCTCCCAGGCCTCCCCGGCCTCTGCGTGCCGCTCCGGCCAGCTGTAAACCTGAAGGGCACAGGGAGGACAGCTCTGACCCAGCCGTCACTGTGTCCAAATGCGCTGTGGTACCCTCGTGACCACCGTCCTCCTCCTCCTCACCCCTCAGGCTCGCAGGACAGAGGAATGAATGGTGTTTAAGGAAAAAAAAAAAACAAAAACCTTTTAGGTAAAAAACATTTTTTCTCCTTTTATAGGAAAAAAAGTATACAGTAGTGTTGAAACAGTTCAAGTTTAATTTGTTGATATATGGTCTGTACTTAGACAAACACTTAAGTTATACAACGTACATAATGTCAGCATGGGAAAATACCAACTTTGTCATTGCACATACCAATAAATAAATACATTGATCCAGAAATACCAAAGAGTTTATTCAAAAAGTCAATAAAAGCACAATTTTGCAAGTTCATCTAAAACTCCAGATAATTTTAAACAAAAATAAAATGTCTGACCACTCCAAAATAGGGAAAGACAGTCTTGTGCAAGTAGACATACACATTCTAAGCATTATGAAAACTGGCTATATGTGTGTTCTCAGCAAGAGAAGTGTCACCCATCCTGACCGAGTCCCCTTCGTCACCAAACACAGGGAGAAGGCCAGAGTCGGGCTTCCCTTTCGGAGCCACCCTTAATTACTTTCTAGGAAACTGGATCCTGACCTAACGCCAGCTCTGCCTGGACCTTGGTGGGAGAAGGGGCGGGGGGACTGCAGAACAGAAAAGAAAAAAGGCACAGTGACGAGCTAGAAAAAGTTGTGATGAAAGCAGGGGTCACCTTTCATTCGCCCTGATTCCTGCTGCAAGCTCTGGCAGCCCAGCCGCCTCATTCTGCAGATGAGAAAACAGACCCGAACAATCCGGGGCGTGCTCCAAGTCACACAGCCACCAAGTACAGGGGGCCTTCTGCAAGGAAGACCAGACCTGTCCCAAAACTTCTGCTCTGCTTCTCTCCCATATCCTGAGATGACAGAAAACTGCAAACTGGAAGTATGGGAGGACAGGTGTCCAATAAACTCAAAACAAGCACCCGTCCTTCAGCCTGTCCCCGGGGGCTGCTACAGTTCAACTAGCCAGGGCCCAGGGCAGGGTCCCAACCTGGCCCCGAGTGCTGGGCACCATGAGACAGACTCATCTACCTGGAAAGATGTGCAGAGGGCCACCTGAGGTCACAACCATACCTTGACGGGGTGAGACATTCTGCATTGTCACTACCGTGGGGAAAGCCAGGACCACCCGGGAGGTGGAGCTGCGCTTGCACCTTGGAGCCAGGGACTCGGCCCAGCAGCTGCCTTGCTGCAGGCCCTGCTGGGCAGGGTGCAGGGCCCGCTTAGTGAAATCCCCGCCGCTGCTTGTTACGTTCAGAACCACCTCCAAGTGGGAGGCAAATGCCCCGCTACTTATAGTGCAAAGAAAACCTTCTGCCTCTACAATTCTCTTGCCCTTTTTGTCACTAAAGGAGGCAGGCCCCAGAGGTCCTCTTTCAGCCCGTGATCACCCCACTCCCTGGCTTCCAGCACCTGTGCTCACAGGTCGGGGCCTCACATGCTCCTTCTGAACCAGTGTCATGATTTTTAAGGCACATTCACCAGAGTATGTTCATATTCATCCAAAAGCATGCACACAACACATGGATTTTTTTCAGGTAATGCAAATGGGTAATGAAAAAAAACTTTCTTAGATGATGTTCTTCTAAATCAGAACCCTGGGAGAAAGAGCTGGCACTTTCCCAGGTGTACTTCCTTATCAGAGAGCATTGAATGAACAAAATCCACCAGCGCACCTTACTCCTTTCCTATTTGTTCTTAGAAATATGATTGTAGTAAGAAACCTCAGCTGATTGTTTGCAGATTGCCCTTTCCCCCAAATACACACAGACACAGAGATACAGACAGACAACAGAGCACCTTGGAGCAAGAAGGAAAGAAAAAGAAGAGTCAGGGAAGTGAACCTCACCGCTCTGCACAAGAACTGTTGAGGGCAGAGGGTGTTGAGATTTTGTGTGTGGCCGGAGGGGGAGTTACAGAGCCAGGAGCGGTCACAGAAGAGCTGCCTAAGGTCCCACCTGCCCAGCACCCTTAGGGACTGCTCATTCCATTATCATTCTCTGACCAATAAAGAACTCTTACTAAGGGAGAGGCTGAGCCCAGGTGGTCTCCTGAGTCCCTGGCAGCTTTGAGTCTTTGGGCCCGTAGCTGTGTGGCCAGTGGTCAAGGAAAACCAGCATCATCAGGAATGGGGCTGTAAGAACAGACTTTGCAAGGCTGGGCCTCGAGCAGGTGACTCAGCTGCTCTTGCTTGTCACTCAGTGCCCAGCAGGGGTTTTGTTGCTGAGCTACCCTTCACAGCCAGGCCAGAAAGTTCAGCCCGCATTCCTGACCCAGCCAGCCCCCTCTCCTGTGGACCAGAGGAGAAAGCCGGAGACAGGAGCTTGCCAGTGTGCTTCGGACTTTTGCACTCTGCCTCTAGGATCCCCAGTCTCACTGGGATGCAAAACCTTAAACTCACAGGCCCAGAGGAACACTTCGACCTGACACTAGAGATCACCTAATTTCTATCATCCCAAATGTCAGCAGGTTTCTTCTCAAAGTCAGAAAGGGAAGAGCCAAGCTGGGACTATGGAGAGGTGGCACCACAGGGTTTCATGGGAAGTGAACCAGCCTTCTACAGAAAGTTCTAGGGCCCTCAAAATGCTCCCAAGTAAAGAGCTGTCTAGAAACCAGACCATGTCAACAAAACGAGATCAGCAGAGGGGCCTCTCGCAGCAACATGCCCGAGGTGGGGGCACATCCATGCTGTACCAGGCGCGCCTTGCTCTAAGCATTCAGAACGGTGAGACCTAGGTTGCGAGGCAGTGCGAGCGTGCTACCTCCGCCTAGATCAAAACAACTCCTTCACCTTACCTTGTTTAAAGTATGACTTTTTTTTTTTCTTGAAATCAGTTTCTACACAGCCTTCCCAAGCACACCCACTCCAAAGGGAGGAACCACTGCTTATTTCCCACTGATTTTTGATCTCCATCTGGGCATGTAGCCTCCGCCAGGGTATACAACAAAAAGGCAAGAGATGAGAGTTCCCTAGTCAGGGAGAAAGAGGGCAGGGAGGGGGAGGGCAGGCCCCGCCCTGTAACATGCACACCAGCCCCTCACACTTGGACACAGAAATGGGCAGCAGCCTTCCTAGGCCTGCTCTCTGGGGAGCCAGACACAGGTCTGTCCTCATCAGTGCAAAAAGCCAGGCGGCCTTCAGCAGACAGCGGCCCAGTCTCCTACTGCAGCGGTTTTGACTCGAAACACCAACTCTGACGTTGCTGCCTCTGGAATCAGGCCAAGGGGTAAGGGCATCTGGACTGGGCCCCAGGGGAGTCCTGAAAGCCACAGAGAGTGGTTTCTTAGGGAATGGAGGGAACAAAGACGTCCAGTGAGCTGAAGTTCTGAATTCTGCCACTAACCAGCCAGGTGACCCAGAGCAAGTGCCATTTTCTGAGTGATTTGCCTAAGGTGACAGAGTTGTACTAGTTGATCTCTACGGGTCCTGCCACCTCCAGTCTTTGTGGTTCTAAAACATTGCCTGCTCCCCTCACCCTAGCCCATCCCTGCCCACGAAGAACCACACGGGGAAGCCTGGGCAGCCCAGACCTAGGCTGACTGCGGCAGGGGCTGCAGCACAAGCAAGAGCACCTGGGGCTGCCCAGCCACAACCCCAGGCACGCCTCCCTGACTGCCCCGTCCATGTTTCCTGTGCAGAGGCTGCTCAGGAGGGAGCGCTCGGGGTAGCTGACAGGGCTCCCAGGACGGCCCCGACCCAGAAAGCCTGTTCCGTGCACTTCCCATCTGCTGAGCCTGTGTCCTGCAGGCCCATCCACTGAGACATCTGGCCTTGAGGGCCAGCCTCCAGCTGCCTCTGTGCAGAGAAAATCCTAGAGAAATCCAGTGAGCTACAACCCTAAGCCACCAGCCAATTCCCACCACCAGACCCCTGCAATCTTCGAAGGTCCTGCCACTCACCCTTCCCCATCCCCAGTAACCTTGCCCAGGCCCGGCTGAGGCCTCCTGAAGTCAGGACTTGCCGCAGTTAAGGGCCAGGCTCAGCCACCAAGCCCTTTGCTTTGTGAAGGTGGTGTGCCCCTCACTGTCGGGGATCCACTGCCATCTGACTCCGGGCCGAGTGGCTGGCTGGGTCATGGGAGCCTGGCGTTGTGCTTCCTCTCCCTCACCTCTGCCTGCCTTCCCAGCTGACGAGGCTGCCTGGCTTGGCAAACGTGACTGCAGCAGGTTGCTAACCCAAGAAGGGGGGTGTGTGCCTCGCAGTGCACAGAATTCACTCTGGTCCCTTTACACACACCCCACTCCTCTGTCTCCGTAGAGGCAGCCAGTTCCTGGCTGGCCCAGCCAGGGAGCCTGCTGAGAGCCAAAGGTTCGACTGGCAGGAGGCCTATGTACAGGGGGTAGGCAGGGCTGTCTCTGCAGGCAGGCAGCTCCACTCCAGGCTGGGCAACCTCAATGGCACGAGGAGGCCTCTATTCACAGGCCAGCTTGCTGTCGAAGCTGGACAGGGCAATGGCAAAGGCCTGCAGCGCACACAGCGGGTAGTTGTAATCCATGGTGAACACGTCCTCTGCCACACGGCCAAACTGCATCACGATGTAGTCCGCTGGAGCCAGGCACAGGTGTAGACAGACAGGGAGGGAAACAGAGTGAGGATGGTAGAGATGGGGAAGGTCAGACAGACACCCAAGTCACAGGAAGGAAGAGAAAGCGCGAAGCAGTGATGCCAAGGGAATCCCAAAGGAGGTAAAACAGTCGGTTGGGGGAAGGGCAGGAGAGGGAACAAATGGCAAAGGAGAAAGTTGCACACAAACACCAGGAGATGGGGAAGACAAGAGAGTCCATCCCCAGGATATTCCCACACCTGAGACTGCTGGGTGCCCAGAATCTAGGGTCAGGGCTCCAAAGAAGCTTCCAAGATCTCCCAGTCATTATGGTTCTTTAAGCTGTATAGCCCGTGTCCTTAAGCACTGGCCTATACGGGCGGGGCTCGTGAGCTGCACCCTGAGCTCAGAGCCCTGGCTAGCATGTGGGCAGTAAGGAGTGAGGGCTGACACACTCACGGTCATTGCCATGGATGATCTGGAAGTTCTTTACAGAGGCCTGTGTGACGCGCCCGTGGAAGTTGAGTACGTAAGACTGTGTGTCGTCGTTCCAGACAGGCGTCTTGTTTTGTAGCTCAATGATGGTCTCCGTGTGCTTATTCTGCCAGCGCGCTAGCAGCGTCTCATGCTCCTGGAGAGCAGACCCACCTGAGCTAGGCCCAGGCCTTGGCACCATGCCTGACCCAGGGCTCATGGGATCTGGCCCAAGGCTGGGGGTCCTTAGACTTCCCTCCGCTCCCAGGGCTTCTCACACTCAGCCTCCCACGGCATAGACACGCCAGCTGGGGGTCTGCCCTTAGAGGCTCATGCAGAGGCTGGGATGATGGGTAAGGGGTGGGGTGGGGGAGAAACTCACGTTGCGGGGCCGAATACAGACTCTCTCGTGAACCATGTTCATGCCAGGGACAATCACACTCATCTTCCGCGGCCCCTTAAAACCTAAGACGTTTGTCTCCTGGGAAACAGAACAGTGGCCTCCTAAGGACTCTACTCACTACTGGGGAGGCTGGAATGGAATGATGATGATGAGCTAGTTCTCACCATCTGCACTTGAACATCGAAGGGGCATCTCTCAATTTAGCATGTCCAGAACTGAGCTCCCGAATCTCTGCCCAAACCAGCTCCCCTCTCAGTCCTCTTTGCTTCACTTCATAGCAGCTCAGGCAAACGGCCTGGGGTCATACTTGACTCCTCCCTTTCTCTCACATCCCACCTTCTGACCCATCCGCTAATGCTTCAGCTCCACCTGCAGATCACATCAAGAATCCGATCACTTCTCACCACCACCATCTCTCACTGAGGTCACAGGAATAGACTTCAGAGGTCTCCTTGTTTCCACCCTTGACCGCTCTCCCCCTCCTCCCTGTCACCTGGTCTCCCCGCAGTGGCGAGTGGTCCTGCTAAGTCACATCGTTTTCCTCCCTAGTGCAGAGTAAACACTGAAGGTCTTGCCTCAACCTGCAAGGCCTCCCAGGACGTGGCCCTGCTTCCCCCTGCTCACCATTCGCTCCCCCCGCACTCACGCGTCCTCGCTGTCCCCACCTCCAGGCATGCAGGCCCTGCGCGCACTCTGCACGCCCCTCTCCCCAGGACCGACAGGCCGGCTCCCCCCGCCCCCCGCCCTGGGTTTCACCCAGTGCCACCTCAGTGAGGCCCTCCCTGCCGGCCTTCCTCAACGCTCACACACACCTGCTCACTTCACAGCCCTCTTCCCTGTTTTTTCATCTTAGTGTTTATCAGGAACGTACGTATTTTGCTTATATGCTTATTTTATAGATTATCTCTCCTACTAAGTTTAAGTCCTTTAGTATCCTCAGTGCCTCAAGTAGTTTCTGGAACACAGCTGGGGCTCAGTATTTGAAGCTATTCGGACTGCCTCCCCAAGGTTGACCAGCAGGTGGCACCATAGGACCATACAAAAAAAAACCCTGGCACACCAGCCACGGACTCCTAGGCCTTCAGTGAGGTGCTCACACCCAGGCTGATGGGACTACTGATTCCTCAATTTTAAATGAGGTGAAATCCCCGGTACTTAAATTCCTGTTTGGCCGTGTACGAACTGTGTAACATTGGCAAGTGATCCAACCTCTGAGCTTCAGTTTTCTTATATATCTAATGATAAAAATAGGATGGAGCTCTTCGACTGAGCATTCAGTGAGATGATTGTGCAAAGGGCCTTGTAGTCCATGCCGGATGTCCAAGGCAGGAGCAAAGGGATGCGCAGACGAAAACCCAGGCCCCCTGCCACCTGCACTCCAGGAGGCCTGGTTCCCAGGGCTCTCCCAGGCAGGGGCCGCTCCGCCAAGGACAGCCCTCCATCTGAAGCCTGACTATCCGCAAAGACAGATGGGCCAGCCCACAGCTCAGGCAGCAAGTCCTGAGTGCCATGTCTAACTTGGGGACCAGGGACCCAGGAACCCAGGACTCACGTAACACACAGCTGCCAGCTCCTGGCGCAAGGTTCCACTTTCCAAGGTAGAAGATGCCTTCTGAGGGTTGACTCCATTGTCATAAACGGTGAACTTAGTGCCCATGAGGTTGGACCTGCAGGGCAGGCACAGTCAGTACATGGTCACACACCCTCTGCCCCAGGGCAGCAAAGAGCTACCAGCATGTCCTATGAGGAGCCTGCAAAGCACCCTGGGCGGAGCTGGGAGTCCACCTGGGGGCGCACTGCTCACTGGATTCCCACCTTTAAGGGCAAAAGGCCTGGACTTGCTCTGAGTTGAATCAAAGAGCATCTTGGTTCAGTGAGGGAAATCTCGGAGGTCAGTCTGGGTTCCAGAGAATGTTCCCCTGGAGGAACAGACGTGAGCGTACAGAACAGCACCTGGCAGGACAGCAGAGGGGCCTCGGCCCCCCACGGAGGCGAGACAGGATGATCTCCGTCTGTCCGAGCCAGCCTGTGAGCCTTGGTCCAGGCCCCATCTCCACGGCTTTGGCTCCTTACCTCTAAGCTCGATTTACGTTCCCCAAACCTGGCACTCTGTTCCTCAGCAAACCCTCCTCCCCCGAGGTGAGCTCAGAACTTTCCCCCACACCAAGGCTGCTCTCTCTTCTGTCAATGACTCACTCTCAGCCCTGCCCACGGACCAAGGTGACTCCTCCATGGTGGCCAACATCATCAGAGACAACCCGGGGTTTGATGTGCCACTCTCGGTGGGCCTGTTCGCCCCTCCCCACCCCCACCCTATCCCCCCGCTGGGAGCAGCTTAGGGCAGGGTGTGTGAGGCCCATCTCCAAGTCTGGCTCAAGGCTGGCACGGAGCCGATAGTTGGACCTAAGGGACAAGAGGATCCAAGGAGAAGATCCGACTGCTGGCCTCGATCAGCGACGAAATGCCCTCTAGAGAGCCTGCCCCACCCACCCCCTTCCCAGGGGATGTGCGGTACCGTAGTTTCCCCACGTAGCTGTCCCCTCCTCGAGACAAGTCTGTTGGGTCCACGGAGATGAGGTAATTGGAAGTTTTACTCTTCTTTCTCTTCCTTCCCGCCAGGAGGAACACCTTGGGGAGTAGAGTAAGGTCACACCCGGGGCCCGGCCTCTGGTCCACACACAGGCATGGGGCACTCACACGGGGGTTTTCTCTCCATTGGCTCCCGAACACAGTGTGCGCGCGCACACGCGCGGGCAGGCGCAGACACATGCAGTGGCCAGGCGTGAGGCCTTCTGTCTCCCTGGGGGAACTGACAGGTCAGGGCTGGTACTGAGGCTCCCGGTCACAGTCTAGCCCCCCCGGGTCTCAGGCCTGCCCAGGTGAAGCACAGTCCAGGCCAAGCTCACCTTCTTCCCATCCTCTCGGTCCAGGTGCAGGAAGTAGGTGGGGTACATCCCTCGGTCCATCCCCTTCTTGTCCCGCGTGATGCGGCACTTGATGGTGATACCCTGGGGGGCTGGCCTCAGCGCAAACTCCTCAAGATCCTCGACCTCAACTTCCACCGAAGGCTCTGGGGCTGTCGGGCTGGGGGCTGAGGCTGCCTCCTATGGGGGAGAGAGCAGGAGCCTGAGCCCTGGGGACCCTGAGCCATTGAAATTGGGGGTCTGGGATCCAGAGCTGACCCCTGATGTGCTGGCGGTGGGAGAAGGGCCGCCTGGACCTGGGCCATCTATCAGCTGTCTTCCCAGCCCTCCCCTCCCTCAGCATCCCTGGGGGCAGGTTCTCAGAGGTCTCCTGTCCGACCCCAGCTCCCCTGCCCCCCTGGCCAGGCTGAAGAGAATGGGAGGTAGGGTGGGAGGACAGGAGAGCCCAGGCCAGAGAAGCTCTAGACAGGCAGCTGGGCCCAGGCCCAGGCAAGCCACTCACTGCCATTTCTCCACGCTCATCCCCCCTCCAGCCGGGATGACCCGTCCCCTGCACACTGCTGTCCACCCTTCCTCGCTCACCCTGATGGACTTCTTGCTAGTAGCGGAGCTGGGGCGGGTGTTGCTGTTTAGCTGGGAGGAGCTGGAGCTGTTCTCGTCCTCGTCGTCCTCCTCCTCCTCAAAGCTCATGCTACTGGAGACGCCTGGACCAGGTGGAGGAGCAGGAGGAGGAGGACTGGTCTCTCTCTCTCACACACACACCCTGCTCACAGGCACCGAGTCAACCGTGCCTGCGTGTGCGTGCGCACACACGCACACACACACACACACCAAATGTGCACACATTGTTCACACACACGCTCCCACACATATCCCAGTGTACACAAGGACACACACTCTCAGGTGCATGCTGGGACTGGACATGATCCGTAGGGTGCGCACCCCGCCCCCACCTTTAGGTCTGTCCCTCCACCAGACCCCTCTTCCCCAGCACTCGCAATGCCCGCCTGCTGTGTAGCAAGGCCCAAGGAGCCGACCCTGCGCTGGGAGCTTCCGTTTCTTGTCTCAGGGTTACCAGAGGCCTTGGCAGGCACCTGCCTGGGAAAGGCCCAGCCTCTTACTCAGCCCCATGTGCAGGGCTGACCCCTCTCCCCAGCCTGCCTTTGGCCCTCTGTGTCCTCCTCCCCCCCGAATGCCGTCTGCAGCCTCAAGTTACCCCAACAGCCTCTTCTCCAGGAAGCTGGCCCTGATCCAGTTTCTCAGAATGTGGACACTGCCAGGCTTCCCTCCGCTGCCCCACACCAAGGGCTCGCTGCGGCAGGGGTCACGGGGAAGGAGCTATCTGGGCAGCAGCTTTCCTGGGGGGGGGGGGTCTGCCCTCCTCTTGGCATCCTGGCCCTGCTCCCCTAGCTCAGCAGATGGGGAACATTTTACAGAAGGCGCTTTTGCAAAGGAAGCAAAGGGAAAGGAAATTGGACCCCAAACCGGGGCCTCCCTAGAGACAGGCGATATGGGTGGGGGAGACAGGGCTGGTGGCCCTACTTCACTCTTCTTTCCCTTAACTTGGCCTTACCAGGAGCTGCTGCCCAAGTTTCTCATGGGTCTCCAAGTGCGCCCCGCCACCGGGGTCTGGGAGGGGTTGGAACAGACACAGGAAGGCCATGCTCCCGAAGAAGGGTGCATCTGAGAACCTGGGACTGAGCTTTGGGGGTGTCACTGGACCCCCACGGGGCTCACCCTTCCTCAGCATCGTGGCACGGAGGTCCTGCCCGCTGGGCCGTGCGCCCCCACCAGCTGCCGTCTCCCCCGCGTCCTGTGCGTGGTCTGACTGGCCCACAGTCAGGATCTGCACTGGGCCCCGGGCCTCAGACTTGTCTTCTGCCAGAGCCGCTGGCCCGCCAGTGCCTGCAGGCCATGGATATGCCTGAGTCCCGTCCAGGGGCTAGGGGGAGGGCGAGCTGGACCCAGAGACGTCCGTGGAGTGGGTAAGGGATGAGTAGGGGGACCCTCTGCAAAACTATCTGCAAGGCTGACTTTGAAAACTAATGACTGCTGTCAGCCTCTTAAAGGTGGGCAAGCTATGATGGGACATGTGTTTTATTACTTCTGCTGTTTCCCCAAATTAGTTGCCGAGGGTTGGTTTGAAATGTCTCACACCCCAGGAAGAAGGCAGCCATCTACACAGCCAACTGCCCAGTGAGAAAGACAAGATGCAGAAAAAGGACCCAGCCAGGCCCCAGACCGCCACTCGTTCGCGGACGTGGCCAGCTACTGGTCAGTGCTGGTGTTCATGCTCTCTCTCGCTCTCGCACACACACACATACACAGTAAACTCGCACGTCATTAGAAACATACGGGGCCCCCTGAAAATGGCTAAGGCTGGCATACACTCGCCTTCCCAAATGGAGGCTCTCCCATCCCATGTAAACCTTCCCCACCAAGCTGCCGCAGAAGCAAGGCCTGGCCCCCCGATGTGGCGGCCACCCTGTCTGGGTGGGCTATGTCCAAAACGCAGCCGTCAGCGCCAGAAGCCTGTGGACCCTGGCGACCCACAGTCCCACTGTGACCAGAGCCTGGAGACAGGACTCGGGGCAGGGGTCACCGTAACCATCCTTGATCTCTGGGGATCTTTTCTAGAGCAAGAGGAGCAGGGAAACAGACGGTTGTGTGTGGGTCCCGAGGGCGGCCCTGGGACTAGAGCCGAGGAGCCCACACAATGACTGGGAGGCTGCATGCGGATGGGCCGGGTCGCCTGGCAGGCAGGCTGCGCTTGGATGGAGTGTCCTGGGTCAGGATGGAGGTGAGCGTCCTCGGGCTGGGCAGGGGCTCTGGGCCACGGCAGAGCTGGGCTCCACTTCCCGGCAGTCTGGAGGGCCTGCCCCAACACCCACGGGCCAGCCAGGTGAGGCCTGTGAGCCAGCTGGGCGGGGCCCTGAGTGCATTTGGTGCCTTCAAGGCGGCGGGGGGGGGGGGGGGGCTCCCACCCTGTTCCTCCAGGCCAGGAAGATACGGCCCCCCCCCCTCGGAGGGGGCCAGGCTCTTGCAGAGGGCTGCAGGGAGGGTAAGCCAACCTTTGTGCTTCCCCTTCTTCTCCTTCCTCGAGGCCCCGCCCTGCGCGGCGGCTGCTGCCTTGGTTCTCTTGGCTGAGGCTGGTGCTGTTGAGCGGGTGGCTCCCAGCTGCACACTAGCAAGTGAGTCAGCCTCTTGAACTGCTTGGGAAGGAGCCCGAGACAGAGAGAGAAACGGGGACTAGGTAAGGCCAGAGCTCCAACTCGAACACACTCCTCAGCCCCACATTCCCTGGCTCCCCCACCAGCTCCGAGCTCTTGCAGGGCCTCTGTGCCCCCCATCTCTACCAGGCACAGGTGCCAGGGCACGGAGGTGGCACCCCCAGCCCAGTGTGATAAAGTCAAAAGCCTGCCCACTCCACAATCAACCAGGACGCAGAGCAGTGGAAGCTCTGGGCCAGCAAACCATCTGAGCCTGGGCAGGGGGAGGGGGAGTGTCTGGGAGAATGCGGGCCACCAAAGATGGTGGGTGAAGACAGAAAAGGCCACACGTCTTGGAAGAGACCACAGCTGGAGCAAGCACTTGAGGGGGCCTGCGCTGGCCCTCCCGGGCGAGTCCACGGCAGCCTGCGGTGCAGAGCGCCCTGAGCAGGACAGTCACTCTGGAACACACGGAGCTGCGCACATTAACAGAGTCGCCTCAGAAGGGTCACAGCGGGGGGCCTCCAGGTTCTCCGGGTGCCGGGACCCTGATCTGCTCCAGGTCCCAGCATTGTTTCTCATTGCTTTTCATCTTAAGATAAAGACCAGCATTCTCCCGCAAGTCTGGTTCCTCCATCTTCCCCTTGGCCTTGGCCTGACTGCAAGTGCCTCACCCCAAGTCCCCAGACATGCCATGCTCCTTCGGTGCCTGTGCACACTGGGCTCCCTCTTGCTGCAGGGGCCTTGCCCTCACTGCCCCACGGCCTGGTGGCCTGGTGGCCTGCCGGCCGGCTGGCCGGCCTGCCTGCCTGCCGCCGCCGCTCCCGCCGCCCCCTCCACCTTGCAGGCTCCAGCTCCTCGGGGCGGCCTCGCCTGACCCCTCGTCTGGGAGCAGCAGCCCTGTCACTCACACACATGGCCTGGCTTCTTTCTGCAAAGCACAGATGTGACCGACGGTAAGGTCCCCTCGAGAACAGTGACCACACCGTCTGGTTCACCCTGGATCCCCAGCCTCTGACACAGAAGGTGACACAAAGTGTGCCCTCAATGAATATTTAAGGGCTGGATGAACATACAATGTGAATGAGCAGGGCCGGTGGGTCAAAAAGTGTTTCCCAGGGTAAACCCCGCAGTTCTGATTTTTGTCAAACTCCCCTTGTATTTACCACCAAGAACCAGCAGAGGGCAGAGCAGGAGGCAGCTAAGGCTGCAGGCAGGGCCGCGGGGCTCTAGGTAATGCCAATCCCAGGCCAGCCAGCCACGGGCACAGCAGCCTTCTCGGAGTTGCGTCCATCTCTCAGGGCCGAGCAAGAGAAGCCGTGTGACCCAGCCTGGCTGGGCTCTCGGCAGAGAGCAGCAGCCACTCGCTGGAGCTTGAAACACACGAGAGCTGCTTCGATGTGCAAGGTCTGGAGACAGACCTTTTCTCATTTACAAGAGAGGACACAAACCCAGAGAGGGTCAGTGTCCTGCTCACAACCACAAGCGAGCAGGTGGCTGGCAATGGCACGACTAGAAACACCGCCTCCTGATGTGTAGTTTCTTTGGCCCTTTCTGTAGGCCTGACACACACTTCAGTGCTCAAGAAACACCTGCCAAAATGACTATGTCAGTGTCTTCGAAGACTGTCTCAAAGCCTCAAGGCATTGGCCTGTGGCCCACACTGGCAGGGCCTGGAGTCCCAGGAGCAGGCTGCCAGCCCATGTGCGGCCTCGGACGGTCAGGCGCCAGGCTTGGCAGGGGCCGTGACGCCCACACGGCAGCAGGCCAGGCTCCACAACAGGAGATGCCCTCTCGGCCGGGCACTGCTGCTACCCTCGGGATGGTGCTCACAGAGGAGGTGTGAGGCGGAGGCGGCCGGGAAAGGGTGGGGCCCGGGCTGGGGTCCGCAAGCAGCAGCAGCCTGAGCTGCCGGTCTGCGACGGCAGCGCTGGGCCAAGGTCCCTGTCCCCACGCTCTGAAGGGCCTCTCAGGCAGAGTACAGACATACCAGCAGCGGAGGCCCTGGGTGCTGAAGCCCACACAAGAGAATCACTACAATGGACCTTCCCATCAGGGAGGCGACAACAACATGGTGGAAAGGCCGTTTGCAGCCTGAGAGGCCTGGGTTCAGAGCCTCTCACCCCGAGGCTCACTAGCAAATACCGTGGGCAAATCGGTAACGACCTCAGAGCACAAATGCTTATTGATCGTGGGGGATGAGTTATTGTGAGGAATAAATGAGGTAACGCAAGTAGAGCACCTAGCTCCGTGCCTCACCACTGGCAGGTGCCTTGTCCCGGGTGCTGTGCCGGGACTGGGCACAAGGTGCTGCCCTCCAAGGCACAGAATGAGCACCGGGGTGTGGGGAAGGCCCAGCAGTTAGAGGAGAAAGGATAGTTAGCTCTGAGCTGACAGGCAACTACCAGCAGCTCGAAGTGGCTGGAGGCTGCAGGTCCTGAAGAAGCTAAGGTTCCTTCCAAATGCAAAAGCCGGATGCTACCTTCTCAGTCACCATCTGACAGAAAAGTCCCTGGGATGACCTGTACCAGCAGGGGGCAAGGGAGGACTAGGTCTGAGGCCCTCCTTTGGGATCAGAGAAACCAACCCTTTGTCCCTGCCTTGGGTACTCTTACCCTAACCTACAGGAGGGGTGGGGGTCCCTAACTCAGGGAAGCAATGGAGCCACCCCACCCCCACCCCCAGGATGAGCTGCAGAGAATCTCCCCCCCCTGCCACCCCAACTCGTGGGCTCTGCTGAGAAGCGAGTGTGCAAAGCCGGGACAGCTGAAGGCTGCTGGTCACCACGGCTCTGGGCAGCTCAGAAGCCAGGCCCACGGAAGGTGTGGGAGGCCCAGGAGAGGGGCCATGCGTGTCTGTCTTGGGAGACAAGAGCTGGTGAAGGCTGTTGAGATGGATTCCTCTCGGGAAGCAGAACACAGGTGGGGAACAGGCCCTTCTCTGCTTCCAGGAGCTGCCTCCTGCTCTCAGTGAACTTCTCCAGATCAGAAGCCTGGACTTCTGAACTCCCAGATCCATCACGTTTTAGCTTCTGGCTCTAGCGCCTGACCCAGGAGTCCGGGGCTCCAGGTCCTAGCCTCTCCCCACCCAACCCACTCGGCAGTCCCCCCGGCTGGGAGCCATACTCGGCCTGCGCACGCACGCCTGATAGAGGACCCCTTGCCCGCCCCAAGGGGAGGGTCTACCTTGGTAGCTGGTGCTGCCACTGCTGCTGAGGTAGGACTCCACCAGGGGGGCCTGCTCCTCTGACTGCCGGGCCCGCCGGCTCCGGGGCCGCCCATCGGCGTTGGCCTGCACCATCAGCGGCTCCTGGCGCTTCTTCTTCTGCTTCTGCTCCAGCAGGGCCCGCTGCAGAGGCGGCGGACAGGCACAGAGGTCAGCGGGCTGGAGAGGGCAGCCAGCCGCCTCCCCCGAGGGGCCGCTCCCACACTGCTTGCTCCGCGCGCTTCTACAGGTCGCCAGGGGGTCCAAAGCCCACTCAGGGCCAAGGTTTCATGTCTTGGTACCCCAAGACATGGAGTCCAGGAAAAGGAGGCAAAACTCAGCCCAGGGAGCTGTCTTGGCAGGACCACAGCACAGACACCCAGCCCTCCAACCGCACCCGCTTCAGCTGCACATCTTACCAGCTGCTGGGCTGGTAAAGGAGAGAGCTGCTTCCGGGAGGGCCCTCTCCCCACCAGTCAGGATCACCCCAGGATGGAGCAGTCCTCCCTCTGCACCCTGAAGATCCCAGCCCGGACTCTGGCCGGGGTGACGAGGGCTGGCTCCCCTCCCGCCCAGCCTCAGCCTCAGCCTCAGCCTCACTCACCTGCCGGTCAAGCTTCTGCTGCCTCAGGTTGCTGCCCTCATCATCTAAGACACTGCGGAGGGAGAGAGGGGTACTCAGGGCCTGTCCACGAGGTGCCAGGATATAGCCCAGAGCCCACCCAGTGCAGAGTTCCTTAAGCCCCTCCCATCAAGGCCGCTGTGCCCCGGGAGAGAGGACTACCGGGGAACCAGCTCGAGACAAAAGGCCTGAGCCTATTTCTGCCTCTCTGGGAGCTTACCTCCTGCTGGGATCCCAGCTGTCCCAAGGACTCCCCGCCAGCCTGGCCCCCGTGATACAGGAGACTTTCCTCTTGCGCCCATGAGCAGGGCCTGACTGGGTCCCAGGGGAACCTGCCCAGAGGCATCGGGCACAGGCCAGGCCCAAGGCCAAGGCTTCCAACCCCTCAGATCTCAGGAGCTCATCCCCTCATCTTTCGTCCTTTCTGGAGAAAGTGGGGTCCTCGAGGGCAGACCCTTTCCCCATGGGCCCAAAGCCGGCTCCTGGCTCTCCAGGTGGCGGAGTGGTGCTGACGCTGCTCACCGAGGCCGAGGGTCCCCTCCTTAGGGGAACAGAGGCCGAGCGACCAACTAGTCCCTCAGGGCAAGGCGCTAGTTTGGGCGGGGACGTCTGCAGAGCAGACCTCACATCAACACATGGTCCAGCAGCCAGCCCCTGGGCCCCTAACTGGCCACAGACATGGCGCCAAGGCAGCACCAGGGCATCAAAGCCTTGAGACCCTGAGGTGACGGGACAGGCGGCGTCGCCTCACACAGACTGGCCCTGCCTCCCAGGAAGGCAGAGTGTAGTAAGGAGCTGGTCATTCAAACCACTTAATTTTCTTTCTAGTCCAAGACACACACAGGGGCCCTAGGCTCCAAATTCCGTAGGACCCAAGGTCAGGACAGCTGCACGGGGTGGGGCTGGAGCCTGAGGGCCTGAGCTCTGGGAACCTCCAGGCCGCCCGGGCCCAGTTACACGCCTGGGTGCATGGGGTGTGTGTGTGAGGCTATGGGGCTATCTCGTGCACGCGCACACACCCGAAGGTGTCCAAGCGCGTGAGTGCATCTGCCTGGGTAAGCACACGCCTCGATATATATGCATGCGAACAGCTGTGTACGAGGTGGGCGTGCATGAGGTGAGTACAGTGTGCACTGAAGGGGGGAAGGTGAGGTCAAATCACCTCCAGGATGAGGTGAAGCCATTTCCACCTCCTCCCGACAGCAGGAGCGGCCCTTCTGGATGGAATAATCATTGACCCAAAATGTCCCTTGAGCTCAAACTATCTGTGTCTCTGTGGGCATGGGGGGGCCGGCCAGAGAGTGGCAGGAAGCCCATGATCACAGACAGCCCACCGCCCACCCCCCTGGCCTCAACCGAGAGGACTCGGCGTATTTTAAACTGACAGCATCCTACCTCCTTGCCGTCTGGGGAGGCCTTTCCTGAGGCGCATGGGCTGCTCTTGTGCTCAGAGGAGCCCCAGCCTTGACTTGGGGCTGTGCACAGAGCAGCCACATTTGCCCAAACCTCAGCTGCCCCAGCATAGAAGAAAACACTGCTCAACCAACGTCAGTCTTCCTGCACTTACCTACCTGCCTTACAGCACACAGGGCACTGCGACTCTCTCAGGGCACTGCCAGGACCAGAGGGCAGGGAACCAGCTCCTGAAAACTCAAGCTTGCTGGGCCCTGGCTGGTGTGGCTCAGTGGACTGAGTGTTGGCCTGCAAACCAAAGGGTTGCTGGTTTGATTCCCTGCCAGGACACATGCCTGGGTTGCAGGCCAGGTCCCCAGTTGGGGTCGTACGAGAGGCAAGCACACATTGATGTTTCTCTCCCTCTCTTTCTCCCTTCCTTCCCCGCTCTCTAAAAATAAATAAAATCTAAAAATTAAAAAAAAAATTTTTTTTAATAAAAAATTAAATTTATTAAAAAAACCAACCTCAAGCTGGCCGGGACGGTGAGCGTCCCATCTCAGAAGGCATGTACACAGGCTGGAGGGCAGGGGCAGGGCTTCCCAAGTAAGGGGGCAGGGACGAGAGTGAGCAGGGTGCCCAGGGCCTGGCAGGGTCTGAGGGGCTGCAGCTCTCCCACCTGTCTCTCCCCCTGAACCACGGCCCTGTCTGAGTAACACACAGGCAAAGCGTCCTCGCGCACACAGCCCTGGAAGGTCGGTCCCAACCAGCACCGCCCACCATGGTCTGCAGGGGGAGCAGTGGGTACTCATCACGGCCTCCAGGACGCCGACACAACTGCAGCCCGGGCTCCGTGTGACACCTGGCTGACAGGAGCAACGGGCCTGAGGCCCCGCTGTGCTCTGCTCACCACGCTCCGTGCCTGGCCACGCCCGGGGCAGCCTGCAACCTCAGGCACGTGCTAGTGGCCTGGCCACAGGAGCCGTGGCACCTCCACAACACAGTGCTGGCTCCCCTTCCTGCCAGCGAGAAAGGCCGTTGCGCGGCTTACTGGGACCATGCTAGCCGCCTGCACTCTCACAGGGCAGGGCCGGGGGCCGCCGTCTGGGTCATGCCTGGCACTGGGCTTGGCTGGGCAGGAAAAGAGGACTTCCTTGGTGCACGGGTCATTTAGAAAAGGGGACATCCAGCTGAGAGGTAAGCTCACATTAGCAAAGCCTCCTGCGTAACTGGAGGGTCACGGCAGCTGCCCCGCTGACAAAAGATGGTTCGAGCCACGGTGCCCTCGCTGCCCAGGGGTCCCCCTAACGTCCTTATCCGTGTATAGGGGATGTTTTTCTTCCGTAGGCCACTGCCCCATGCCACGACTTTCCACCCCACCACGTTACACCCAGGGAAGGAGGCTGCTTTCCATGATAACATCACTTCCTTTTCCTCTGTCCCCGACTCCATTTCCTGATGAGGGACAATGACAGAGAGCTGCAGGCTTTAATAACATGGGTCCCCATGTGCCCTGGACAAGTAGCTCAGTTGTCCTGAAACATCAGGATTGTGAGTTTGATTCCCAGTCAGGGCGCTTACAACAAGCAACCAGTGAATGAGTAAATAAGTGGAACAAGAAATCAATGTTTCTCTCTCCCTTCCTCTCTCTATGTAAAATCAATTAAAAAAACAAACAACAAAAACAAAAACAAAAAACCACTAATACAAGTGCCCAGATAGGATGACAGGTAAAAGAGACTTAACCACCAACCTTCAGAGGAGATGGATGACTACAAGGGCTGGGCTTCTAAAGAACTCCAGAAACTCAGATGTCCTGGAAGCGCCCAGCCAGCTGCCTGCCCACCACCTCACTTACCACCAGAAGGGGCAGAGCAGTGGGAAGAGCAGAGCGCAGGCTGGGGGCGGCAGCTGGGGAGAAGCAACACGTGCCTGGTGAATACGAGCGTACCTGGCCGAGCAAGATCCCCGGGAGGCCGACAGAAATCCACCTAAAGGAGGCTGCTCCAGGGGCGGGCACAGCGGGAGAGTAAACAGGCTCCTGGTGCAGCACAGTGTTTCTAGGAGAGCCACACAAGTCCGAGCGGATCGCGGTCACCTAGCAGGGCCGAGCCTGTCCTGGCTGCGTGTTTCTGCCTGGCACATACGTGTCTGGAGCATATAACATCTGTCCCTGGTGAATGACAGCAGCGTATTGTGGAGAGCAGGACAGCAACGATGGCTGTCTCCAGGGAGAACAGAGCCCCAGCTCCAGTCACCTGCTCAGCAGGCCCGGCCCTGCCCTCCCCACCAGACGGCCCTGCCTTCCCGTCTCCCACGGCAGCACCTTTCCTCGGCATCTCCCTTACTCACTGTTGAGCCCGGTCTGCCTCTTTCTGACAGGCACTGTTCTAGGCCACGCTAAACGACAACCATGAGAGGAGACAGTAATGGCTTTTTAATGACTCGGGCTCCAATTATGGAATCGCTGCCAAGCCCAGGCTGCCAGCTGCAGCCCCGCCAGGAGGCTCGGGCAGGAGACAGGGCCCTGATGGATGGGTCTTCCAGCTGACCCTGGTGGCTCCTTCATTACGGCCACCTCCTGCCCTCACCTCCTGCTGGCGGCCAGGCCAGGGAGGCCCCAGAAAGCATGGGCCACCAGCTCATGAGGGCCAAACCTGGTCCATCAATCCATGCACTCTGCCCAGAGCCTTCGCTTCCCGGGGAGGAAGCCCCTCCTCATCGCCGTGCCTCCCCTGAGGCCCGACAGAATCTGAGTGGCCACGCTTGGCAACAAATGAGGTCAGGGTACTTCTCCTGGGGGCTGAAAAAACCAGATATGGCCAAGAACTTTAGGAAGCTGGTTACTCCGCTTCGTAGACCCTCCCCCCGCAACATGCTCCAGCTAATCCACCTGAGCTGGCCAAGGGCCCGGGGACCAGGCCAACCCAGGGATGGAGCGCCCTCCAGGCCCACGTCATCCTCCGCTCCCTGTCCCCATTCTCCCCACTCAGTCACAGTGGAAGCTGCCCCTGCTGGGCCCAGGGAAAAAGCAAGTGGGCTGTCAGGGGGTGGGGGAAGACCACCATGGTGCCTGGCTACCATCCCTGTGCCCAATGCCAGACACCCTCCCTGCCCACCCCCGAGCACATCCGGGCTTCCAACGCCTAGTGCGGTGACTTTCGACCTTTGCCACCTCATGGCACGCATAAACTAATTACTGAAATTCTGCAGCACACCAAAAAATATATTTGTTGCCGATCTGATTTCAAAAAAGGTATAATTTTGATTCACTCGCACTAGACAGCTATTGTGTTGTCTGTGGTCATTTTTTTATTGGACAATCTAATGGAAAACAGGTCAGCGCCCCTGACTAAACAGTCAGGCACTGGGCGTGTTTTAGAAATCCTTGCAGCCCACTGTTTGAAAATCGCTGGCCTAGTGGCAAAAACACAGTGGGGGTGGGAACGGAATGGGGAGCGTATGGGCAGCTCCAGAAGGGAGAGGCCCACGCTGCTCACAGGAGCTCCAGTCTCTCAGGACGGGGCGTCTCCATCCCAGCCCCGTTTACAACCTCACCGGGTGCATTAAAACTGCTAGGGGCTCTCAGCCCTGACTTGCTAATTTCAGGACTTGCTAATTTCAGGCCAGGGAAAGATGCCC